TACGGTGTTTTTCTGCATGTGTTTTAGTTAAGTTGTTAGTGTTGGGTATGGCAATGTCTATAATACAAATGGATTTTTGTGTTTTATCTATAAGTGTAATATCTGGTCTATTATTGTGGATAGTTTTGTCTGTGAGTAGTGTCCTGTCCCAATATAATTTGTGTGTGTTGTTTTCAAGTATGATCTGTGGCGTGTATTTGTAGTATGGTGTCGTATCTGTTATGAGATTGTGTTTAAGTGCTAATTTTTGATGTATGATTTTAACTACCTGATCGTGTCGATGTTTGTATTCAGTTTGTGCAAGTCGTGTGCATGCCGATATTATATGTTGGATTGTTTCTGATGTTTGTGAACAGAGTCGACAAGAATCATTTGTGACTGTTTTGTCTTTATGTATGTGTTTTTTATAGTTACGTGTGTTAATGACCTGGTCTTGTATTGCTAACATGAAACCCTCAGTCTCCGGGAAGACATCACATTCAGACAACCAACTGTGCGTTGCTATAGAATCAACACAATCCTGGCTAACCTCTTGTGGAAATCGTCCATGTAAAGGCTTTTGGTTCCATGTTTGTATGTTATTTGTGATGTATGTAATTTTGGATGTGGGTGGGAGTATATTAGTTTCGTGTAGGTTAAGTGGTGTGTAAGATTTGTCTGCATATGTTACTGTTTTGTGTAAGACTGAAGTATCTGATTTGTTATAAAAGTATTGTCGTAAATTGTGTATTTGTGTTTGGTGCAATAGTGTTATATCTGTAAGTCCTCTACCTCCTTCCGAACGAGGAAGGTAAAGTCGTATAGTAGAGGAGTGAGGGTGATGTATATGGTGTTTTGTTAATAGTGTACGTGTGTTTCTCTGTATTTGTTCTAAATCTGTATTTGTCCAACGTATAATCCCAAAAGAGTATGTAAGCACTGGTGTGGCATAAGTGTTAATAGCTTTGATTGTATTTCTACCGTGTAATTTTGTTTTAAGTATACTGCGTATTCTTTGTAGGTATTGTGTGATAAGTGTTTGTTTTATACTCGTATATTTAATGTGCGTGTTTTGCTGAAATCCAAGATACTTATAAGTTTCATTCTCGTCCATGGAATTTATTAAATTACCCTGTTCGAGCTCATAATCTAAAAGTTGTCTTTTACCAGCTGTGATGTGTTGTGTTTTACATTTATCGATTCCAAAGTCCATTTGTATGTCACGTGAAAATGTTTCCGTGATGTGTAGAAGGTGATTAAGTTTTATGCTTGTGGAAGAGTATAATTTCAGATCGTCCATGTAAAACAGGTGTGTAATGTTGTGATGTATTTCGTGGTTGTGTTTAATATTGTACCCAAAGTTAGTAGTGTTTAACAAATATGAAAGTGGATTAAGAGCAAGACAAAACCAAAGCGGACTTAAAGAATCGCCTTGAAAAATGCCTCTTTTAATTTGTATTGGGTCAGTAATAAGTTTTGTGTCGTTTAGTGTAAGTGTTAACGTAGTGTTCCAACATGACATTATGTAATTGAGGAATTGTGTAGTATTGTTGCTGACTTTGTATATTGAGAGTACTTGTTGTAACCAAGAGTGTGGTACTGAATCGAATGCTTTTTTGTAATCAATGTATGCAGTGTGTATGTTTCGTTTGTTATGTCTGGATTGTTCAAGTATTACAGAGTCTATAATGAGTTGCTCTTTACACCCTCTGGAATACTTGGTACACCCTTTTTGTTCTTCGTATAAAATGTTGTTATCAGTACAGTGTTGGTATATTTTGTTTGTAATGCATGATGTAAGGATTTTGTATATTGTAGGAAGGCATGTAATTGGTCTATATTTAGATGGGTCTTGTGTATTGTTGTCTTTTGGGAGCATGTAAGTGATACCTTGTGTAAAGAATGCAGGAGTGCGATCTGGTGAATTAAGAAGTTCAGTAAATTGTTGTGCAGTGTAGGTAAAATATTTCCACCAAAAGTTGTGAATGTTATCAATGCCTGGACTTTTCCAGTTATGTAAGTGATTAATAGTTTGAATGATGTCTGTTGTAGTGATGTTTGTGTTATTCATAGGAGTAATGTATTCAGTGCGTGTGGTTTCTGTGGTAATCCACGGGGCGTGTGGATTGTGTTTAATGTCTTTGGTCCATAAGTCAGACCAGTATTGCTGAAGTGAGTGTAGAGATGGTGGAATGAGTTTTTCATTAGTGCTGTTTTGTGTTAGTGATCTGTAAAATAGTTTTTCGTTATGTTTAAATTGTGTGTTATGGCGCTTTCTGTCTGCAGTTTCCCTATAGCGTTTTAAACGGTTTGTGTATATTGATAGTTTTTGTGTGAGTGTATCTCTATGTTCGTTATAGTTTGTATTTTGTTCTCGTGTGGTGTGATTGTTTAGTTTTGTAGTTATGTGTTGTACTTGTCGTGTTAATTTTGAAGAACGAGTTCCTTGTATGTATTGTGTAATTCGACCCAAGTCACGTCTGATGTCATCGATGCGATTAATCAGGCGTTTTTTTTTATTATTATTATTATTCCCAATCAAGTTAAAGAAGGGCACTGACATTGGGACGTGAGCCCCAGTAAATGCAGTAGCGCGTTGTTTTCTACGTTAGATATGAAAAGCGGAAGACAATCTTTAGCATAATAGGGTCAGGTTATACGACAATTTACAGTCATGCCATTTGTTTTGTGCAATGCCCCCGCAAACGTTTGAGAAATTAATGAAACTGGTCTTGAGAGGTGTACTACTTCGAAGGGCACCTCAAGAATCTCAAGTCAATCAAAAAAGTATTTGTATAGCCAGAAGTTTCTCGTAAGGGTCGACCATGCCGCATTGCGATGGTTATTTATTGCAATTAAAGTGTGCAGGAAGCCAAGTGGCCACATGGTTGGAAAGACTGCAAGTGAAAAGTATGTTGTAAAAGAACATCGCGCGGGACGAAACCATGGTAACGCAGATGTCTTTTATCAAGAAGACCATGTCCTGAGGATTTTGAACACAAAATGTACATTTTGTGCCACAAGCAAAGGACCAGTAGGAAAGAAGAAGGCAATGCAATGTGGGTAGTCCATTTTAAAGAGAATAGCTATTGATATAGCAGACCCCTACCCAGACAGCTCCTGGAAACAAGTAACATCTTGGTGGCCATGGACTGTTATAGCAAATGGACAGAAGCATAATGCTCTACCAAATCAAGAAGCGACAACTGTGGCAGACGTTTTGGTAAAAGAATTTTTTAGAGGATTCGGAGTACCCGTTTAACTATTCGGTCGGTGCTTGTGTCTAATTATTGGGCATTTGCAAGACCAGAACCACTGCTATACAGCTACAGTCAGATGGAATGGAAGGCTTTCGTGTTGTTGGGCCGAGTCCGGTTGCCGTGCGATCTGAAGATTGGTACAAGACCAGACCACAGATTAACTACAATTAATCTGTGACCAAGCCAAGAAGAAACTATGGAAAAGGGTACGTGGAAAACCTGCGTCAGAAATTGACTGCCATCCATGATAAAGTTCGTCATAATATGCAGTTAGCTTATTAGTGTAATACAACGTAAAGGCCCAAGCTAGATAGTTATCAACCTGGAGAACTTTGGAATGATATCCTTCCCAGACGCGTGGACTATCCCAGAAATTACAAAGAGCTTAAGAAGGACCGTATACAGTCGTGAAGAAAATAATAAATGACTTATATAACGGATACGGAAACTACCACGACGAAAGCACATAACGAAGCCGAGGAACATCCAGAAATAGCGAATGTGATGCAAGTGAATCCATACATGACTCTGGAACTCAAAGGGTATACGCTTTAGTGTCGTCATTGAGGAATCTAAAGATTTGTGTGAAGTAAGACGCTTTGGATCACTGCGTAGCCAAGGATGTCAAGATGGCCCGGGGTATTGCTGTAGAGAACACGTTCCGAGGTTGGTAAAGCGTGATGTTTCCTACAGGAGCAAAATGGCCGGTCTTGTGACAAGCCTAGTTATAAAAATTTTTGGAATGCACCACAGTTCTTACAAAGACAACTCCAAATTCATGGCGTTACAAAGCTGGCGATTCCGAAGATCAGATGTGGTCTTGCATGGGTGGAAATATGGGTTTGTTGTTTCAACCTCAGAAGAACCCCACAACCATTTCGTAAAACGGTTAATTACTTTTTGTTCAAGAATGGGAGTTGCACGAAGGGAAGGGAACATCTTGCAATTAACGCCATCAAGGTCGCGTTATAGAGCGAGGGTCGCCTAGAATTGTATCTCCACTACAACCGTCGTCCGTGTTACGAGACGCAACTGGGGGACAGTGATAGCGAGTACCTACCCCAGACAGTGGAGCGTCATCAAGCAAGCAAATAAAAGATTAGTCACCTCCGATAAGAAATAAAAGCGAATGCGACGCGACGCATTTCTTCATTGAAATATGATACGCCTTCTAGACCCTTCGAAATGTTCCCGGGGATTTTTCTAGAAACTTGCAGTTTACAATATCATCAAATTGAAGCGTGTTTAATGGAGTTCCAACATCGATGCCGAAGTGATTATTAGTGAAGTTCTATCTCATATGTGCTAAATTTACCTGTTATAAATTGGTGTACAAGACTGATATAAATTCATTACTATTTTATTAATATTACATAAATAAATCACGTAATTAAATTTACGTTACAATAATTTCTTATTTTAGTAGGGAATTTTTACGTATTTTTTGCGTTTACTTTACTGCAAAAAAACGGTAAGCTAAACGCTAACCTGACAACAAAATAATTGGTTCAATGAAAACCTGATAGTATTGATTCACAGAAATGAATAAATGTGTGTCATGGAGTAAAGCATATAGTACATACCTATTTACACTACACTGCAATTCACTGTTATTTAAACACCCTGACTGGCAAGTGTTTGCGCACAGTAATCAAGTTTGCATTTAAAAGAAACCAATTCGCCAATCATTATTTACAAATCCTTATGATAACAGTCATGATAGAATTACCATTAAGTGCAAGGATAAGAGAAATAATTATAATGAGTAAAAAGTTTGTTTTATTTCGATCATTTGCAGTACAAATTTTGCATACTTCGTTATATTCCTCTTTCAGGTACTTAAATTAACAAACCCTATTATCGTAGTACAATTCAAATCACAACAGCCAGTCCACAATTCTCATCTATTTCCTCCAAATATAAAAGTAGGTGTATGGAGATAAAATAGATGAAATTATAATAATAATAACAACAAATAGGTTAAAAACGGATGGCTATCAAATTAACTAAAAACTAAAATGATAATAGAATTATTTACGAGGTCGTACGAGATCTACTCAACACTACTATTTTCTGTGTATGGCACTGAAGGAAGACAAGAAGTAGATTATAAAAAATAACATTTCTTTTAAATACACCAGCACCGAAGCACTGTCCATAAACTCTCGTACGATAATAAGCTCAGTTCTTTCGTGCATACATAAAAAAAGTTTTAGTATGTTTCTAGTACAGATAGTTTTTACATATAGGTACCATAAAATTTATATACTGATTAACAACGAACAACGATTAAAATTCGTTTTCACTTATGATATAAATATAGCAATAATATAGTCTCTATCGAATTCATCTTGAAAAATACTTCTATACTTCTCTCAAAATATTGCTTTGCAAATACATAAAGAAAACGGAAAAAAATAAAATAACGAACACAGTCACTACGTCATTTGCTCCCGCCGAAGTGTTTATATAAGTTAACGCTCTTCCAATGGTGCTTGAGAATCCCTTTCCTGTGTCTAGGCGTTTGGAGAGTTAGTAGATTTTTTCGCTTTTCTTGACTAAGGACACACAGCTAGTTTTTGTGGAAAATCCAACTCGCAGCTACGATCTACCGTTGCTGTACTGAACGCCAGTGGAGACCTTTCCCTCCTGCAAATTTAACTAAATTTCAGATTGATTGACGGTATGTTGACAGGAATTGAAATGGAATCGATTGAAAAAGCGACATCCATTGTGCAACGTTTTTTTGCCTGTACAGAAATAGCGCTCGCGGATTTACGTCAAAATGTTGGTTGTATAATGAATTTTTGAAATTGTTGATGCCAAAAAATTCGAGTTCTGGCTTTAAATAGAAATTTATCGTTTTCAATAAGGGGTATTGCACATCGTGTGTTGTATCAGCGCTCTATTTTTAATACTGAATTGAGGAGTTCAAGGAGAAAATGGCGAAACATCTTAAATTCACTGAATAAATAAATTATTGTTTGTCTTAGCTTTGCAATCCGTGAGTACAAGTTATCATTATTATTGGAGTGATTGAGCCGAATTGCTGATATGAAATTATCATTAGTAAAATGCCCGCTTGTTAACAACTGGCATAGTCGCCAAAAATACGTTTACTTATACAATTAAAGCAGAAGAGGATTGTAGACTCAATGTGTTTTTCACTATTTTGTATTTGCCTCAGATATAAAGATACACTTAGATAAGATTAGCAAATATGACGCTTAACGTTACAGAAGAGCCACTCCTCCCAGAGGCAAAAAATGTTTCTCATGCCAGAGTGCCTTGTAATGAATGGATAAGCAAGGTCAAGATTGTAAGTTGACAAAGTCTGAAAACGCATCACGCAGAGATTAACGATAATGCAACTGGCTGTCATAACATTTGGAGCATGGCCTACAAGCCTACATCAAAAAGCATGTACTAATTTGCGATTCTACGCGAATGTTAGCGCGAAAATAAAATTTTTAGTAGGTCAAGAACGCATGCAGCACAACGTGCACTAGTGGATCACTAAAATGGGATTAAAAATGGTAAAATACTCACTAATAAAAACTGCCACCCCAGTGGTCGTCATAGTGTCCCAGACCATTCGATATGTAACCCATATTGTTTGAGGTAGGAAGGCATTGAAAGCAATAATTCGCGCCATAGTTGTTATCCCAGTATTGGCAACCTTTACAGTGAAACCGGACGGCGATTTCCAACTTTTGTCCAATCGTTAACGTATTCGCGTACAATAAAAATTTGAAGGTGTCAGAAAACCCATCGCACGAATTCTGCACGTAGCTGGCCTGCAGCTCGGAGAAAGTCTTCCACGCATCCAAACTGTATCGTATGTGCACAGACTTGTGGTAGTCTAAATTTCTTACTCTAACAATTCCATGTATACATAAATCGATGGGGTCGCTCACGACGGCGTTTTCGAGGCACACGTTCTTCTCACGAACCTTATCCAGAAAGTTGGGCTGACTGCCGGGCTGTTGGAATAGGGGGAGGAGGATTTTTTCGGTTTTTCTGCTCGCACTTAAGTTTAGCTTGTTATTGGATCCGGTTGGGGAGGAGTCCGACGTGGAGAGGCTTAGGTCGGCGTCAATTAGATCGTCGTACGCGGATGTTGGTATTTTAGGTATTTCGTCCAGGAACGTTCTCACGTCGGCGAGATCCAAGCCCAAAACGTCGGCGAAACGCACGATCTTCTTCCGGCCCGGTGTGCCGGGCGGCGTCTTGCCAGTCTTGAGCGATGAGCACCGTCTCACTCTCGGTATTTTCTCATCTTTATCCGTGTCTTCATCACTTTTCACTTCGAGAAAGGACTTTCTTTCCGGTTCCGACACATTTTCACAGTCTTCCGGTTTCGGCTGCTGTTCGACGTCGTTTGAAATGGAGTCTTGGCAAGTACCGTTAATCTCTAATGAGGAATAGTCTTCATCTCTAAGGCTTAATGTGGCTTCATCATCACTAAAACTACTAAGCGCCCCAGTTATTTCTGTCGTGGCGGGTGATTCGTACAGTGAGTCTTCAGGTGGTGGAGATTCGTGATTGTGGATTTCTTCGGATGTTGAGCATCCGTTTAGGTAACCATTTGTGTTTTTTGGAGGGACTACTTCAGATTCAGTGTCGTAGTATGGACCGTCGCTTGAATCGCTATCGTGAGTATTGAGCAGGATGGGGCCCGCAAACGAAAACTTTGAGACTCCATTTTTATGTGGTCGTAGTTTTAGATTGTCCTTATTGTTGATGAGGGTCATCAGTTCTGATTCGGTGAGTTCTTCTTCTGGACTTCCTGGTGTTTCGAGTAGACTGAATTTGAAATATAGATCTGGGTCGGACGCATGGCGGGGTTGGTGAGATACGGCTAGGGGTGCTTCGTGCGCACCTAACCAACTGCTTTCGTCGGCGGAGCTGCTGCAGTCTTGGTTACCAAGGGACCTCAGACGAGAGTGTAGGTGGCGGGCGAAGGTTTCTGCTCTGTTGCGGCACGACATCGGTAAAAGGGAGGATAGTCCACACTTGTCCCTTTCAGTAGTCGACATAGGGATGGCGCCCCTAAAATGGGAAATCTGAAATTAACAAATTGCAGAAAGTTAAAACCAGATCATCATTGGGCAAGTTTGTACAAAGAAAGAGTTCAAATGTGTTGCATACCTCATGCATCATGTTTCTCGGGCGAAATGTTGCTCGCTTAGTAGCCGTTCTGGGTTTGGACGAACTTTTAAACAGTAATTAGCGTGCTTGTGCGAACGTGATTTTGATAAGTGCCGTTTAAAAAAGAAAATTTATTGAATTCAATAGTCACACCAATCAGACATCTGTTTAAAGTCTACGTCTTTTAATTTAAAGTTCAAGTGATCGTGGCACACAGACGGCCGTAATTTTTAAATAGCACACGCGATATCTATGGCGAACGGAGCACTACTAAACGTGGCGAGTTTGCTATTCATTTATCTGTCCCTTTATCTCGAAGCTCAGCGGTATTTAAGATATACGTTCGGGACTTTTTTGATAACACCAATTTCCCGAGACGTACACGGCACACCGCAGAATGCAAAGCACCGACTGACCTGGTGCTTCAATTCGACTTTTGCGCAACTGCCACTACACTTTTTTGAGTGCCAGTAAATATTTTTCTGAGCGGCGCGGCGCGCGATTTCCAGTCTAGGTGCAGCTAATCGTAGAGAAGAGGAAGTTGCACACGTGCATTTAAGTGCCACCTTAAATTAGAACGGTATTTATAGGTGCCCTTTTTTTCAGCTAGGTCATTCGTCTCTAAATTCCCATAATTTATAATAAAAGCAAACATCAATCACTATCTGAATAAGGTTTCCTTCGATGACCCATAAAGAATGGCCGTCTTAAAATAGCGGAACTAGACGGAATCATGCACGGACAACGTGCCCATACTGAAAAATCTCTGGGTATCCTTCGCGAAGAGTGTGCACTCCCAATATCTCGACAGACAGTCTTATCTTAAGGTTTCCCAACTGATAGGTACTAGGTCAAAGCCCTCGATCGAAATTTATTTATAGTCACGCGGCAGATTCACCTACGCACAAATCTTCGACGCGTCAAAAATAAACTTTTTTGAAGAAGCCCACTTTCGCCCCAAAAGGTTGTATTAATAGGATCGTGAAATAATCGAAGCAACGCAAGCTCGTAGATTATTTTATTATAAAATCACGCGGTGATCACGAGTAGTTCACTCGCGTAAGGAGTCGGATAAAGTCAATTGCCAAACAAGATAGTCGAGAACGTTACGATTCAAATTCAAAATTCAGAAGGTAAATGTAAATTTCACTAATTATACTTTCAGATGAATTGCTAATATTTACCGGCGCCATTTTTGCAACAATCTTGACCTTACTTACTATTCCCATAGCACGGCTCAAACTTCCTAGCAACGCGAATCTACAATCCGCGAATCACCCTCTCAATTCAAATTTAAAAAAATATTGACTTACCAATAAGAAAAATGCCGGTCAACCGGTTACAGCTATAAATTAACATTAATACAAATTTTAATAATATTCTAAAGGACTAACTCGACTACAGTAGGTGCTATGAACTTGAAATCTGAGTGTATCACTGAAAGGTTATGCCTCAATATGCCGCGTTTATCTATCCGTCCATCTTCCTTTCGGTTATATTTCATAACTCGCGATAATTGATCTACTGCCCACCTTCGACAGCCAAACGATTATAGTAGTTCCTCCAATGATGCTTAATTTTAGAACTACACTCAGTTTTTTTTCCCTAAGGTTAATACAATTTTAGCGAACTGGTTCTATAAATAAATGATGGAACGCCCATTAAACTTTTACCGTCCATAATTTTCGTAATGAATTTTTTTAAATCAATAACCCCTTCCAGAATGAAACTGTATGACAGAGAAGTGGGTCATTTTCGTGTTTACCTCGACGTCAATGAACGAACCTTGAGTAAATTAGATATGGAAATGACGCACCTATGGAACTAACAATTAGAATAATTTAAATTTTCGCTAGCTCTTTAGAAATCGATAACTGATCAGTGATCATGCAAATGGTCAGCCGTTTCCAAGCGCCAGGTTCTATGAGTGCCCTGCTACGGTAAGGTCTTAGACTTTGGAATCCTGAAGAGTGGGCAATAAAGCAACAACTCAGCTCACCAGGTCAAAGTTCATTAAAGGTCCGTCAAGGTCTCAAGGGATTCCACTGCTAAAGAACCGCGTAAGAGTTATCAATTTGATAGTACCTAATACTACTGTGCTCTAAAAACAATTACCTACTTTAGTTTGATTTGTGAATTTAAGTTATGTTTAGATAGAAAAAAAGAAAAAAAACAGGACAAGGTCAATGATTCTAAAAATACAATGAGCGAAATGTTTGAAAAATGTTCCCTAAAAAAGTTGAAAGTAGATTGTTTACAACGTTTTTTGGAAGAACCATATCAGGTTTGGTATCATTTAAATATACCATGCACGTCTTAACTTGTAAATTATTCAAATTTTCATAGCGAATTATCATTTCAATGTCACATACATACTTGAAGAATGAAGTTGCAAGTTAAATTAACAAATTAAACACGGTTTTTTGACATATAGAAGAACGCCTTTAAAAGAGACCCAATTTAGGATTTTGATTTGATCTTCTGTATATTATCTCAACACCCTAGGTCATTGATCTTGGAGTTTCCTTTACTTTACTGGATTTTTTCTCTCACCATCAACGTTTAGGACACATACCTATGTATCTAGGCTACTTGATCGAATCCTGGGACCAGAGATGAACGATGAGGCTTACGCGGATGGTAAGACCTTCGAAGAGCATTTAGAAAATTTACAGGAAGCCTCCGGAAAAGTGGTCTGCAACTGCAAGAAAAGAAATGAAATACCTGGGACACCTCATCTACCGAAATGGTATACAACTGGACCCACAGAAGATAGAAGCGGTTGTAGGTATGGAAGCTCCCAAAAATTTCCGGGGTGTCGGAAGATTGCTAGGCATGATCTCTTGGTATAGGAAATTTATTTCGAGGTATGCTCAGATTGCAGAACCGTTGAAGAAATTACCGAAAAAGGGTTGGGGAAATATGCAACAAGCAGCATTTAACTGTTTGAAAGAGGCATTAACCTCCGCTCCTATATTAACTTTGTAAAAAAATATTGTCATCTCATTGCACTGTACTGTGTCTAAGCAACAAAGGTCTACGATTGGCTGATACCCTCAACATTACCTGGGGTGAAAGTAGCGGACGTTACATTTGGCGCCCGAACGGGGATTTTCTGGACTAGAGTACCTAGCAAGGGAACCGGTTTGGTGTATACGATTATTTAAAAAAAATCGGCACTCCCCTTGTTTTTGCAGCATCCTAAAGAGTTTAAGTAAATTACACAAACAGCAAGAACAGTGCAAATCTGGTTTTTCACCAAGATATAACTGTAGCTCTTCCTTACACAAAAAATTGACTGAAAAAGTGAAAGTTTTATAAGGTGTTCAAAAATCAACATTTTCTGCTTTTACTTTAACCTGCTCGACTTCACTGTTCCTCATCGACGATGTTTGTCTAAACTTTACTTCTTATACATGTCCAACGAAGATCTACGTTTTGTTGGATTTACATGTGGTAAAAAATAAAGACCTGAACACTAACAGATCAAACCAACGACATGTATTTCACAAATTTCTAAATCGGGCAAATCTCTAAGAAGTCCTAAAAAACAAGACAATGTAAGCAACCCGTTAGCGATGTTGATGGTTTCACAGAAGCAGCGGTTCGCAATTCCATCTACGACATGATCCAACACAGTAAGTTAGAACACTCGTTAAATAATTAAATTGATGTTTGTGTAGATATTGTAAGCAGTTACGCTTCAAGCGCTTTTGCAAGTTCTAAAAGAAAAAAACGAATTTAAAGGGTCCAAAAGTTCCTTAAGAAATGTTGTTGCGAATATTGGTCTCTGCTATCAAAAAGATAATCCAAGACCCAATATTGCACCACCAAGGGTCCCATTTTTTAGATGCGTATGTAAAAAATATGCAACTTGAGACTGGACGTCAATGTGTCTTTTTAGATGAAACGTGGATATTTGAAAATGGAACAATACGAGTATGTCAGTAATGGCAAGACTACAGTGCAAAAACGTACGAAAAATTAAACCCGAAGGATTATTAATTATTAACCAGAGCAATATCATCATATAACTATTTAAGATCCGTGGTTTTACATGCCGGAAACATGAATGATTTTATTACGGAAGCAGGGACATCTTGTGGCTCGTCAGTGTTTTTTTCAAACACTAGCTCGCCATAAAAAATATCACTTTAGCTCTTTATAATATAGCATATGCTATTGTTTACGTAGGTAGATACAATTAATACACTTGACAGATCAACCGTGGATCCAGAAAGAAAGTTCGGGGAAGGTAGCGTAGGTGGACGGTTGAGCTTCCCAGGGGTGCCCCCTTTCTCGGGAAAATTTTGAAATTAGTGTGAAAATCGCGAGTTTTAAGACAATTTTCTATAGACTGTGACCCTTCTACAGTAAAAAGTCTACCCTGAAATTGGAAAACTGCAAACGACGTAACTACATAAAAAAACAGTAAAGCATTCAAGTATACGTACCTCTAAAATACAACAAATTCTGAGAAAACTTGGGAACATCTGTCCCACAAGACAATAATAAAGGTCTAAAACAATGTTTTAGAATGTTTCTTTATTTTTTCCGTAAGCCCAGGAGGGGGGGGGGGGAGATTGCCCTTACCTATGCGCATTTGAGGTTGTTTAAGCTAGACCTACACTACTAATGACCAATGACCACTAAATTCGCATGTAATTACTGCAAAATATTCAAAATAACAAAAGATTTAAATCAATTTCATGATACTGTGGCGACCTTATCAGAAAATTGTCGAGGCGCCATCAACTCGATAAACGATTAGTCACCGACGATAAGGACCATTCTTTTTGTGAAATACGATCTGTTTTCTAGGTCTTTCTAGATTTATTGTTAGCTATATTACGTTTAGTTAGTATTAACATCGATATCGAAGTGATAAGATCACGCCAGTTCATTGGAAGACGTTGCCATGCGTCATGAGGCAACCTTTTCATCAAGATACTTATGTTAATGTTAAGAATACTAATGAATGGAGAGACGAGAAGCCCCATGCAGTTCTTCCTATCAGAATTGTAGAACAGCACCTTGTAGGACCTTACATGCTGCCACCACGAATCCCCACGGATCAAAATTTAACATTCTTGCAAGAAGAGTCTGCATAGTATCTGAACGAACTACCGCTGGAATTGCGTAATCCCCTCTAGTATCAACATGATGGCGCACTTCCTCACTGACCCCCTGAGATCACCTAAACTTTACTTTCCCTATTTAATGGATCGGAAGAGACAGTTTAGTAGCTGACCACCGAGATCGCCCGATCTTGAACCATTCTATGGGGGCGTCTTAACAACTTTGTGTATGGCGGGAATAGAACCATTGGATCAGTTGAAAAACTGGTTGCTCATTGGCAGCTTCAGAAGCTTCTTCTCAGAAATACATATGGGGGACACCAATCTTGCGCAACATTTTTGTTCTTTAACTCATAATATGCAGCAAATTTCTTGTCATTTTCGTTGACTAACCAAAAATTGCAATGCCATTTTTTTTATTTCAAACACTAATTTCAGATTCGCAATTTTGATGTTAAAACACCGCCAGACTCCAAATTTGATCAAGATCAGAAATCTTGAGGTAACCATTTTAATTTTTTTTATAAAATCGCAAAGCTCATATCTAAAAACCTATTCAAAGACGTTTCTAAAACAGTTATGGTTCTCAAATTAAAGAAACGCAAATTTCACCACTCTTTTTTGAGACTCCCAAACGAATCAGATTGTCTTTGGTTTATTTGAATATAATATTTGGTTTCATCTTCCCATGTTACACCCTTATTTCGTGTGAGCATTTGTTCATTATCTTCTCTCGTCTCAGCGATGGTTTCGGTCTAAGTTATTTTGAAATTTTGTTACGACGACAAAACAAGGGCGCACCAAAAATGACCTTCCGACGAAGGAAAAGTGAAACCTAATAGCGAAAATTCCGGGAAAAGGGTGACCAAACGAGACTTTCCACGTTGTTTTATGGACGTCTGCGTTACTAAATTCGCAAAGCCGTTCTACAGATCAAAACTGCTCCATTCGTTGAACTATTTAGTGCACTAAGAAGAGGACACGTCGCTAGTGTACGCCACCACCACCACCCGCCGTAAAAACTTCAAACCCATCCACATCTGGAGATTCCAAGAAGACGCGTTGTCCATTTTGTAGAAATATAGGCCACACAAGGTAAGTGTGCTGCAAAATAACGCGCCAGGAAGCAACTGCCAAGTCACCAACACCAAAGTCACAATGACACAAGACGTGAAACTGCCACTCAGCTGACACCAGAGGTCATTCTTGGTAATTGTCCGGTATGCCGACCTCCAACCGAAGCGTTCGAAACTACAACCTTCTGCACGGCCAGTCTGGAAACCAGACGCCTCGCCACCTCGTGTGTATCGGTGTCGGTAGTACCCTCGGATGCGCCGTCGTAGACAGAGAAGCAAAACAAAGTCTCGCAGGGATCCCGTTGTACAGGGTAGCTGAAGATGTGTGCTACACTTCTAACGAAGGGAAGGCATGTCTTCTACGTGTGGCAACACGTAGAAGTCTGCTTAGATAAGACCCTCGGTGGGTATCCGTGCAGTATCAGCAACTCTTCGGACCAGATCCCAAACCCTATCGAAGAAAACCCCGCCGTGCCATATCTCCGGTACAGCCGTCGTCCGTTTTGCGAGACGCAACAGGGAGAGAAAGTGTAGGGATTGTTCCAGAGCGAGTTCAAGGCCCATCAAGTCGCCGTCAAGTCGATAAAGATTAGTCACCGGCGATAATGAATGCGAATATGACTCATTATTTTCATAAAACATGATATGCTGATTCGTGTGCTAAATAAACCTAATTGTTATAAATTCATCTGTCTAAATTTGTCATAATTTCATTTTGTTGTTTTCTGTTCACTTTGTGCTAATTTTCATCATACAAACATTGTGCTATTAGACTTTAGAGTTTGAAAGCTATTAAAATTTCTGCTGTGCGTTATGGTTTCCTACTTTCATTGGGATTGTCTCCCTCCACCACTCTGATATTTTTAAATTTTAATTATTGTCTCCTAAAGGTGTGCCGGACGGTTTCAAACGTACTTCTCTATTTTGCATTGCGATCCTGTAGGATATATTACAACTTTTTATTTATTGCACAACCTTTAAATGTGAATAACTCGAAATATGGGTTGGAAGAGGGTAAGAAAATGGAGCATTGGAACTATCTGCACGTTTTGCTGAGAATTTCCCCGAGGACTAGATCATTTGGTATGATATAACGTACGGTCTTAATGTGTGCTAGGCCGCCTTTAAGTGTTTACTTCCAAAGGCCTCCTCTCTGCTAATTATTTATCAAATAAATAAAACATCAATAACTTTTACCCAAAGCAAGCATTTTTCCAAACAAAATTGTTTTTTTAGTACCCGATTCTCGGTAAAAAATTTGTGTGAAGTTTCCAACATAACGGCAACAAAAATAAATAATTTTTGAAAATTTGAAAAAAAATCTTGAAAAATTGATCAATAATGCTACAAAATGTATAGTTCTGAAATTTGTTGTAATAAACCAGCTTCAACTTTTTGAACTGGTAAAAATTCCAGTCTGACCGAATTTACAAATATTTTATGACCACAAAAATAAATTGAAAATGAACGTTGCGCAACATTGCTGGCAAATGGCCCAAAACCGAAGGATTCTTATCAGACCTATGACCTATTTTTAGAAATAAGCGACGGTAATGGCATATATACATAAACACTATACAAATTAAAGCCAAATCCAAGATTCAATGGCCTCAAGGACGGTGAAAAGCGCAAAATGTTTGTTAAAAGGCTATTAATAGTGGCCCCTTAGGCTTAGGTAACCAAAAATAGAAACAATAAGAGGGATGTTGCTGTTTTCGAGCGTGGACGTTTCCATGCATCTGGTAGGCCAGCCGCTTCCCATCGAAATTCCAGACACTAACATCGGGGACATACTGGAAAAATACTTTAATGAAATACCTATGTGACTGAGACAAGTTACGTGAAACTTTGTTTGAAACTTACGCACACTCAGTTTCAGTGAATGAGGAGATGTTTTTGTTGGGTAGGGTAAACCGCCGAAAGAAGTCGAGACCAGAGAGGTTGGTACCGAACTGCGAGAATTCTGAAAAATGTACAGAGTGAACGTTGTCTTTCGACATTTTCGCAGATCTATGATTGTGGCTACCGACCCTATCGAGAAAGTCTGTTTTGCAATTTCTCCTAAGAAATCCACGAACAATAAAATTTAGTTTCTGATGTCTACCAAGACAGTGCATTTAGCCATTTCCCAAAAGAAACTTGGACTTTATCTTGAAGTTGTAGAGCCAAACCTATATCTAATATAGGTACACTTTTTGGAAATCGTGAAAAGTGATTAGAAAAATGAGAAAGGAAAATACCCAAGAGATTTATAAGATGGACGTGGGTCGTAATTAAATTGGACACAAACAGTAAGAAGATAGCTCACATAATATTAAATCTTGGCTATCACGTCTAGTCTAGTATAGTTGAGACAGTGAACGTTTCGACGCGTTTGATCGTTTCCCCAACGAAATTAGATTTAGCCGAATATTTTTGGGATCTTCGTGTAACAAGATGCGTTTTTGCAGAAAATTTTTTCTGTAACGAAAAGTGAAAAGAAGGTACGGAGATTCCGTTGGCGTATCCAGTTTAGTCATTTCTTCTGTTACGAAACAGTGAGACATCATGTAACACGCATTTCCTGTAGGAGTGAATTCAAAATCGGTAATTATTGCTGGATGATCATAAAATGGGGCTGAATTAATAAAGGACAAATTAGCAATTAGTCACAATCAAGGATAATGAAATGGAGTTAATTAGTCGCGCGAATGTCGCTATTATTATCTGAGATGGAATGACTTTAATGACGACAATTTCTAAAGAGAAAAACCGTTAATTGTCCAATCGCTCCGCACGCTAGGAGTTATATATCATTGTAAAATATGGGTTTCTTGACGCAATTGTTACACTAAAAGAAAATGAACGCTAGATGGTGACGTCAGACAAGTCGATATGTTAATGATTGTTTTTCCTTCCATCGCAGGATTTTTATTTCACGCTTGACCAAAAAGCCTTCTGGAATACTCTAAACCATTACATTCCGTAAACCAAAGGGCATATGGTAGTAAAAGCGATCCTTTTAAATGGACAAAAAGTGACCGCTTAACGACATATATGAGTTACCATCAGATTATGGTGTGTATTATAAACAATCATCATCACACGCAAAATACGCATTCCAAATTAGTTTCGGAAATCATTCGACTAA